GGGGGGGGGGTAAAATCAGTCACACATTGCTTGTTGTTTATTTACTCTGATATCAAACTTTCCTTGCACCTGCTCAGACTTTATGCTAAGCATCAGGTAAGACAGAGAAGAATCTGACTGTGGCCCTGTTCTCTAGGAGCTCACAGTTGCAACAGACTGCAAATGAACAAGGGAGGTGATGCGTTAGACTTGCTTTAATAGGAACTGCTCAGGCTGCAATGGGCATAAAAAATGAGGGAAGGCTTCACAGAGGAGGTGACATTGGAGCTGGGAATCTTGGGAGAGAGATATGTTGACTGGGTGGCCCAGACCATCTGGAGGATCTGCATGACAAAAGTCCTGAGGACATGAACCAGCATGGCCTATTAGGGGGACAGGTCAACTCTTTGCTATGGCTGTGGCTAAGGGCTCAAGGAAGGATGTAGGAAGAACTGTGACTGGGAGGGTGCCCAGAGGGGAGATGTATTAGTTATCTATTGCTGCATAACAAGTTACCCCGAAATTTAGCAGCTTAAAACAATAAATATTTATTATTTCACAGTTTCTAAGTTGTCAGGAATCCAGGTGTGACTTAGGTGGGTGCCTCTGGCTCAGTCGCTCCTGGGGTGCAATCAGGCTGTGGGCTGGGCCTGCAGGTTTATCTGAAGGCTCGACTGGGGAGGAATCTGCTTCCATTCCACTCACATGGCTGCTTGCCGGCCTCAGTTCATCACCACATGGTCCTTGCACATGTGCAGTGGCTTACCCCAAAATGAGGGATTCAAGAGAGAGTGTGAGAGAGTACCCAAGACAGAAGCCACAGTCTTTTCCTAACCTCGTCTCAGAAGAGACGTTACTTCTGCCATATTTGCTTCATTAAAAGCCAGTGACCAAATTCAGCTCACACTGCAGGGGACTGGATTACACTGGGTGTGAATGCAGGAGGTGGGGTCACTGAGGCCATCATAGAGGTTGCCTGTCACCGGCGGCTTCTCTGAGTCTGGGCTTCTTGCAAGTAGTGGGGGTTTGAGGTAATGCTGGGGCAGGGTATGCACCCAGCTCTGGCTCCCTCCTACTCTCCTCTCCCTCTTGGATCCTCAAAGCCCAGATCCAGCCAGCCTCTGGGTATAAGTAGAGGCCAGTCAGGCTGTGATTAATGAGCTAAGGAAGCCAGGAGGACACCAGCTGCTGCGGTGGCCTGTGCTGCAGCCACCCAGATGTGGGGCTGCTCTAACCCAAGTCCCACAGACATGGGCCCTGCTGGCCCGGGATGTGTCGGAATGGTGATTACAGCTCACATCTGAGATGTTGGCACAGTGCTCTCTCATCCTCAAACTTAGGGATTCTCTGCCTTTACTATGCCTCCAAATTCCTTAGGAAGTTTGTTAAAATGCGGACTCCTGGGTCTGACACAAACCTATCCCTCAAGTGTGGTTCTGTGGCCCTGAGGTGGGGCCAAGAATCAGCATTTTAAAACAAGCAGTCCTGTGCTTCTGAAACAGGACCATTAGCTCAGACACAGTGTGACATACCCTTGGCCAGATGATGACCATGGGCCCAGCTCCCCTCTACCACTCCAGGGAGCATCTACCCTAAGGGGTGAGAGGGGATATTAGCAGAATCTCTGGGAGGTTATGATTTGGAAAGATCCATTTAATAATGAAACATAATTTGGTAGGAAAAAATCCATTGCTTTGTTAATATGAATTAGAGAAAATAAGGCTGGATAAAGTCTTCTTGGCAGCTGCTCCCACCCAAACCTGTTTTCCTGACTCTTTCCAGCTATTTATGGGTTTAATTAAATGTGCCCTTGCCTCAGTTTCTCCAAGTTTGTCTCTATCTGTATTTCCCTTGGTCTCTCCTTTCCTACCTGCTCCCCTACTTGCTCCTGCCCATCAGGGGCCCCAGCCTGGCCACTGTTGGGGGTGCCCTCCTCTCTCCCAACGGCAGGACCCGCATCTAGAATGAATCTAGAGGCAGTTCCACTGTGAGCGTGATGATGGCTGCGATACTTTGGGGGCGTAGGGATTTTTAATAGTTAGCTTGGACTGGGAGAGGGGCAGTGAGGCAGTAGAGGGGAGTGTATGTGTGTGTGTGTGTGGGGGGGGTGTATGCACATGTTAATCTTCTGGCTCCAGCTCAGACTTCCCAGTTCCCAGCTGCTGAGCTTCTCCTCCCAGCCTCTCCCTCTCTTACTCCCTGCCCTGTTTGGCAGCCCCCGGCCTTACTCTGTCCCCCACCCATGGCCTCTCCTTGACCTTGGCCTTGCAGACCTGGTTTCAAACCCCCAGCTCTGCCTTTCAGGAGCTGTGTGTCCTTGGGCAAGCACTGACCCTCCCGTAGCCTTTTGTTTTCTCATCTGTGAAACAGGATAGACCGAAAGGCTGCGGTGCCGAGTAAATGAGAAAATACCTAGAAAAGTGTTATAAAAATAAGGANGCCTCCCGCAGCCTTTGTTTTCTCATCTGTGAAACAGGATAGACAGAAAGGCTGGGGTGCCGAGTAAATGAGAAAATACCTAGAAAAGTGTTATAAAAATAAGGACTTTTACGAACATTGTCTTTTGCCTGTAAATGATGAGCTTTTTATTTTGAGGAAAAAAATAACTTTTCCTTACCACAAAAGCAATGCAGGTTATTTGTAGCATCTTTAGAAATTACTGATAGGCAAAAAGGGGAAAATTTAAATCACATTAAAATTAAAGTCTGATAAAACCACTGTTAACGGACTGGTATAGGCTCTTCTAGGTGTATTTATGTGTATTTATACATATTAACCTTTTTTGTAAGAAGAAACATGGATTCCTGCTAAAAATACATAAGGATTTTTGACTTATTAATATTTTAGGGACATTTTTCTATGTCATGTTAGATCTACAATATCATTTGGGGAGGCTCTTAGGCATCCATAGTATAGTGCACCGTAATTTATTTTCCAGCTCTCTATGATGACACATACTTTGCTTTTTTCCATCCTAACTAT